AACATGGGTGATACGGTGAAAATATCATTTAGATATAGTATAAACAATTTTGGTCCCAGGACCGAGCCTTGGGGCACTCCGCAAGTGACTTTTTCGAACTGTGAATCCACATCATCAATTTTTACATATTGATATCTGTTGTTAAGATAGCTTTGCAGCCATTGATTTGTTTTACCACGAAGGCCATAATATTCACACTTTTTCAACAATTGTGCATGGTCAATTGTATCAAATGCTTTACTCAAATCAACAAATACACCCACTGTATAGAGCTTTTGATCAACAGCTTTCGCAACATGTTCTACAAGTTCCATCACTGCTAGGGATGTTGAATGATTGCTTCTAAAGCCATATTGATGGTCATTCAATAAATCATATTTGTTGATAAAAACATCAAGTCTAATTTCAAACAATTTCTCTAATATTTTTGAGAATTGTGGCAACAGTGAAATTGGTCTATAATTAGATAAAAGTTGTTTATTTCCACTTTTGTAAATTGGAATCACTTTAGCCATTTTCATTTGATCAGGAACAATACCAGTTGAAAAAGATTTGTTGCAAATATAGGTTAAAGGTTCAACAATACAGTGGATGACATCTTTGATGAGCGACATATCAATACCATGACAATCTGTGGAATTCTTACTTTTAAATTGATATACTGCTTCTAAAACATCACTTTGACATACGCCATTTAGGAACATTTTGTTGCTATTTGAAGTAGGAAACTCAATATTTCCAACAGTAGGTAACTGATTGGCTAATTTAGGACCTACTGTAACAAAAAATTGATTGAAAGCATTTGTAATTTCTTTTTTGTCTTCAATTGTTGTATTTGCATTTTTAATACTTGTAGGTAAAATCATCTCTTTTTTGTTTTCTATTACTTTATTGATTACCATCCATGTGGCCTTAATATCCTTTTTATATTTCTGTAGTAAGTTAACATAATAATCTTGTTTGCTTCTTCTTATTATAACTGTTAATTTATTTTTATATTCTTTGTACAGTTTCTCTTTTTCTTTTGTAGGATTTTTCATAAACTCTTTGTATAAGTTATTCTTCTTTTTACAAGCCTTCTCCAAACTTTTTAACATCCACGGTTTAGATCCTTTTTTACATTTTTGCTTATATCGTTTTGGAGGGCAATGCTTATTATAAATATTAAGAAATATTTCTAAGAATGCATTATAGGAATCATTAACATTTCCAAAATGGATTCCTTGCCAGTCATAATTTAAGAGCTCAAATTTCAAGGCTTCAATAGCAATAGGTGTTTTGTGTCTGTGAACAATATCGAACAAATATTGAGGTGTTTTATTGTAATGAAACATTTCCATCACAACAAAAACAGGCAAGTGATCAGTAATATCTGTTAACAAGAGTCCACTTTTTGTCTTTATACCAGTTTGATTTAAGAATATATTATCAATCAATGTACAACTATCTTTTGTTATCCTGCTTGGCCTCAATATTAGCGGGTAGAAGCTCAAACTAAACATTGTATTAATGAATTCTGTAGTTTGTGAGTGCTCATTGGACTTTAACAAATCAATGTTAAAGTCACCACAAATCAAAGTCAACTTGTTAACCTTTTGCTCAAACAACTCAGAAATCCTTTTATTAAACTGATCTATACAAGAACCAGGAGAGCGATAAATACAAGGAGAGCGAATGTTTTTTGTTGTTCTGGCTTTAATTTCAATAGTTAAGCACTCCATCAGGTTCTCAATAGAAAAAGTCATATTTTCGATTACCCTGCATTCTAAGCCCGTTCTAACAAACAGAGCAACCCCACCCCCTCTTTTATAGAGTCTGTTCTGTGAAAACATTTCATAGCCGTCTAATTTGTCCAAAAATACTTTTCCGTCTTTTATCCAAGTCTCTGAGACTGCAACTACAGAAAAGTGCTCAAACTTTTGTAAATGGTCCTTAATTTTGGAAAAGTTTCTATAATGACTCCAGCTATTGAAATGTATGAGTGAGAATCCCTGCATACTCATGTTAAAGTCCTCCTCTGTATAATATTCACAGTCCAACTCAGTGCTACTGCAGAGATGAGTCTCTGGATCAATATCATTTCCTCTATCATTAGATTTATATTCTTTGTCATCAAAACTTTTAAAGTAATTGTTTTTTCCTGTTTCTATGCATACTTTTTATCCATAAATGACAAGAAACAAAATACTAATCAAGTCAAAAACTTGGGAGAAAGAATACCTTTGCCTTTTCCCCTTGTCACTATAAGTTTCAATTTCATTTGTACTTCTCCAGCTCCGAGACATGTTTGATTGTCACAACTTTGGCCTGCTCTGGTGGCCCGTTGAGTTTGATCATTATTTTGCAGTTTCTCGTCCATGTATCCTGTATTTTTCTTTTCTTCTTCAACATTCTTGCTTGCCAAGCAATTTCAGCATTCCTCTTCGTAAGATGTTCGTTAACATATACACCAGTACCCTTGAGCTTTCTTGCAACCTTTAGCAACTCAATTTTGTGTTTTCTATTTGCAAATCGAATGATTATACTTGGTTTTTTTGACTGTTTTTGAGGAATTGTGTGACATGCTGCTATTGTTGTACTGTCAATAGTGATCCCATTTCTATTGAAAAAGTGAGTTACTTGTTGTTCAAGTGTCAGCAGTTCACCTGGTGGTGCGTCCTCTCCTTCATTGACATTAGCAGCGGCCCGTGCATATGTGCGATGTGTAGTCTCCAGTCCAGAAATCACCACATCCTCCATTCTTGTGTATTGTTCCAGCTGGTCCACTCTGTTTTCCAGCTCTTTGATCTTCTTGTCTTTCTCTTTAATCACTTCTTTCAGATTATGTACTTCCTCGATCAGTTTCAGTAAATAATTCTGTTGTGTTACCACTTTAGTCAGCTCACCTGACATAAAGTTTAGTGACTTCTTAACTTCTTCCATATCATTTGCCATAGTATTAGCCATTGAAGTGGTGGTAGGGGCCTCCTGGTGATCCAGTAGGCCTTTGTCAAGCACAGACCATAAAACTTGCTAAAAATGAAGATAATAGCAAAAATGATCCAGTGCCATGAAGCATTACTTCAGTGCATATCTGAGGACTTTAGGCAAATAGTTGGATGTCGATATCTCTTTGTGATATTTGTTAGATTGGCATAAGCTGTTCAGCACAAACATCAGCCGGCAGCTGATGTTTACATCTGTACATTAGCAGCCGTATGTTTACATCTGTACATTAGCAGCCGTATGTTTACACCTGTACATTAGCAGCTGTATGTTTACATCTGTACATTAGCAGCAGTATGTTTACACCTGTACATTAGCAGCAGTATGTTTACATCTGTACATGTTAGCAGCAGTATGTTTACATCTGTACATTAGCAGCAGTATGTTTACATCTGTACATTAGCAGCCGTATGTTTACACCTGTACATTAGCAGCTGTATGTTTACATCTGTACATTAGCAGCAGTATGTTTACACCTGTACATTAGCAGCAGTATGTTAGCATCTGTACATTAGCAGCAGTATGTTTACACCTGTACATTAGCAGCAGTATGTTAGCATCTGTACATTAGCAGCAGTATGTTTACATCTGTACATTAGCAGCAGTATGTTAGCATCTGTACATTAGCAGCAGTATGTTTACATCTGTACATTAGCAGCAGTATGTTTACACCTGTACATTAGCAGCAGTATGTTAGCATCTGTACATTAGCAGCAGTATGTTTACATCTGTACATTAGCAGCAGTATGTTTACACCTGTACATTAGCAGCAGTATGTTAGCATCTGTACATTAGCAGCAGTATGTTTACATCTGTACATTAGCAGCTGTATGTTTACATCTGTACATTAGCAGCAGTATGTTTACATCTGTACATTAGCAGCAGTATGTTTACACCTGTACATTAGCAGCAGTATGTTAGCATCTGTACATTAGCAGCAGTATGTTAGCATCTGTACATTAGCAGCAGTATGTTTACATCTGTACATTAGCAGCAGTATGTTAGCATCTGTACATTAGCAGCAGTATGTTTACATCTGTACATTAGCAGCAGTATGTTTACACCTGTACATTAGCAGCATGAGGCTCTGGGACACAGTAAAGTGACAGTGACATGTGGTTATTGCACATTCTGATATAAGTTGAGGAGCACAGGTAGAATATGCACAGTCCGCACAGTCCGCACAGTCCGCACAGTCCGCACAGTCCGCACAGTCCGCACAGTCCTCACAGTCCGCACAGTCCTCACAGTCCGCACAGTCCGCACAGTCCGCACAGTCCGCACAGTCCGCACAGTCCGCACAGTCCGCACAGTCCGCACAGTCCGCACAGTCCGCACAGTCCACACAGTCCACACAGTCCACACAGTCCACACAGTCCTCACAGTCCTCACAGTCCGCACAGTCCGCACAGTCCGCACAGTCCTCACAGTCCGCACAGTCCTCACAGTCCGCACAGTCCGCACAGTCCGCACAGTCCGCACAGTCCGCACAGTCCGCACAGTCCGCACAGTCCGCACAGTCCGCACAGTCCGCACAGTCCGCACAGTCCGCACAGTCCGCACAGTCCGCACAGTCCGCACAGTCCACACAGTCCGCACAGTCCGCACAGTCCGCACAGTCCGCACAGTCCGCACAGTCCGCACAGTCCGCACAGTCCTCACAGTCCGCACAGTCCGCACAGTCCGCACAGTCCGCACAGTCCGCACAGTCCGCACAGTCCGCACAGTCCGCACAGTCCTCACAGTCCGCACAGTCCTCACAGTCCTCACAGTCCGCACAGTCCGCACAGTCCGCACAGTCCGCACAGTCACAGTCCTCACAGTCCGCACAGTCCGCACAGTCCGCACAGTCCGCACAGTCCGCACAGTCCGCACAGTCCGCACAGTCCGCACAGTCCGCACAGTCCGCACAGTCCACACAGTGCAATGTTACGCAGGTAGTTGGCTCTTCCAGACAGGGCCTTTTTTTGTGGAGTGTGCCTCTTGTTTCAGTCTTTGGGGTTTGTCGTCCTCAGAGCACGCTGAATATCACCAACAACAACTACTACGCTATCTACATGACCAACATCACAGCCCAGGTGCAATTCTCCAAAACGGTGATCGGGAAAGCCAAGATCAACAACAGCACGCTCATCATCCCTCTGGACGAGAAGCAGGTATTCAACAACAGATCAGACAGAACAGAAATCAAACAGAACATGGGAAATGCAATAATAACAAACACAAACGAGCTATTAGTCCAAAGGGAGCGGGATGACCATTCTCCAGAAACGTTAATAAATGTGCTTAAATCATTGCTGTCTTTAGACCCTCCTGCATCGGCAAGGGACCACTAACCAGTGGGAAAAATGTGAGAAACCTCAGGGAGGCCCATATTGAGAGAGGGACAGATCGTAGATCAAGGACCGAGGCTGTAGATCCAGGACTGAGGCTGTAGATCCAGGACTGAGGCTGTAGATCCAGGACTGAGGCTGTAGATCCAGGACTGAGGCTGTAGATCCAGGACTGAGGCTGTAGATCCAGGACTGAGGCTGTAGATCCAGGACTGAGGCTGTAGATCCAGGGACTGAGGCTGTAGATCCAGGACTGAGGCTGCAGATCCAGGACTGAGGCTGTAGACCCAGGACTGAGGCTGTAGACCCAGGACTGAGGCTGTAGATCCAGGACTGAGGCTGTAGATCCAGGACTGAGGCTGTAGATCCAGGACTGAGGCTGTAGACCCAGGACTGAGGCTGTAGATCCAGGACTGAGGCTGTAGATCCAGGACTGAGGCTGTAGACCCAGGACTGAGGCTGTAGACCCAGGACTGAGGCTGTAGACCCAGGACTGAGGCTGTAGACCCAGGACTGAGGCTGTAGACCCAGGACTGAGGCTGTAGACCCAGGACTGAGGCTGTAGACCCAGGACTGAGGCTGTAGACCCAGGACTGAGGCTGTAGACCCAGGACTGAGGCTGTAGACCCAGGACTGAGGCTGTAGATCCAGGACTGAGGCTGTAGACCCAGGACGGTGTCTGTTAATCCAGGACAGAGGCTGCTGTAGGTCCAGGGCTGGCTCAGATGAAATGCAAAGATATGAACGTAAACATAAGTCCTTGCTTTGCTTATTGAAAATATTTTGTTTTTGCTTGTCATGAAGTGCTAATAATAATAACTGGATCATCCTCATCTTCTCCTTATCCACTTTTTAGAAGTACTAATAAGAGTGTGAGTACTGAGAGTGTGATTGTACCCTAACACCTCCCTCTTGTGGCCGCATTGGGGTAGTACAGTGTTTCCCCATTTCACAGGTTTTGTCCTGACTATATTATTTCCACATTCTAAAACATGGCATGAAATGTTACAGCCTCATACAGTCTCATTCACTTTCACAAAAGGTTGGGAACCTCTGGAGATGTGTTGACATGTGTTTCACTTTCAGGTGGATTACACTGTTCCCACGTCCATCGCTGACGAGATGAGTTACATGTAGTATGTACTTCTCATAATCCTGCATGTATTGAGTCAGATGTGTGCGATTTTATAAACAATAGTATTCTCCTTTCCCACAGCGACTACTGCACCTTACCCACAATCCGAGTGCACAACATCGGAGTCATGATGCAGTAAGTGGAATATTTCACATTTGAAACATACGGGGAAAGTGATGAACACTGGTCCCTGGTTTATTAGAGGAGTTTATTAAGTGAAATCCTTAAGTAGCAACTGTATGTTTAAGGTTTAAAGCCCCTCCCACACACATTTCTAATCACCTGAACTCATGAATCAGAGATATCAAACATGTTGGTTGTTGGTCTGAGAGACAACTAAAAGCCGCGCATACACCGTTAAATACAGCTGCAGGGACCAGAGAGGGGGACCAGAGAGGGGGACCAGAGAGGGGGACCAGAGAGGGGGACCAGAGAGAGGGACCAGAGAGAGGGACCAGAGAGAGGGACCAGAGAGAGGGACCAGAGAGAGGGACCAGAGAGAGGGACCAGAGAGAGGGGCCAGAGAGAGGGGCCAGAGAGAGGGACCAGAGAGAGGGACCAGAGAGAGGGACCAGAGAGAGGGACCAGAGAGAGGGACCAGAGAGAGGGACCAGAGATCCTTGAAACAGCAAAAGGTGAGCCACATTATAGTGAGGGTCCGCTGTACATATTTTTCTTCATAACTCAGTGATAAACATTTCACTGTTAGCATGGTGCTAACTGCCTGACAGTGTCTAAAAATACACTTTCCCAGGTGTGTCTGCCAAATATCCATCCATCCATCCATCCATTTTCTTCCGCTTCATCCGTTGCCGGGTCGCGGGGGCAGCAGTCTAAGCAGAGACGCCCAGACTTCCCTATCCACACACACTTCCTCCAGCTCGTCCCGGGGGACCCCAAGGCGTTCCCAGGCCAGCTGAGAGACATAGTCCCTCCAGCGTGTCCTAGGTCTTCCGCGGGGCCTCCTCCCGGTGGGACGTGCCCGAAACACCTCCCCAGGGAGGCGTCCAGGAGGCATCCGGAACAGATGCCCGAGCCACCTCAACTGGTTCCTCTCGACGTGGAGAAGCAGCGGCTCTACTCCGAGCTCCTCCCGTGTGACTGAGCTCCTCACCCTATCTCTAAGGGAGCGCCCAGCCACTCTGCGGAGGAAGCTCATTTCGACCGCTTGTATCCGCGATCTCGTTCTTTCGGTCATTACCCAAAGCTCATGACCATAGGTGAGGGAGGGAACGAAGATTGACCGGTAAATCGAGAGCTTTGCCTTTCGGCTCAGCTCCCTCTTTACCACAACGGTCCGATACAGCTCTGACTGCAGACGCTGCTCCCTCTTTACCACAACGGTCTGATACAGCTCTTACTGCAGACGCTGCTCGCTCTTTACCACAACGGTCCGATACAGCGACCGCATCACTGCGCACGCTGCACCGATCCGCCTGTCAATCTCACGCTCCATTCTTCCCTCACTCGTGAACAAGACCCCGAGATAATTCAACTCCTCCACTTGAGGAAGGACCTCTCCACCCACCTGCAGAGGGCAGGGCACCTTTTTCCGGTCGAGCACCATGGCCTCAGATTTGGAGGTGCTGATTCTCATCCCAGCCGCTTCACACTCGGCTGCAAACCGTCCCAGTGCATGCTGCAGGTCCTGGTTCGTTGGAGCCAACAGGACAACATCGTCCGCAAACAGCAGAGATGAAATCCTGTGGTCCCCGAACCGGACCCCCTCCGACCCCTGGCTGCGCCTAGATATTCTGTCCATAAATACAGTGAACAGAACCGGTGACAAAGGGCAGCCCTGTCGGAGGCCAACATTCACCGGGAACAGGTCTGACTTACTGCCGGCAATGCGAACACAGCTCTGGCTCCGGTCATACAGGGACCGGATGGCCCTCAGCAGAGGACCCCCGACCCCGTACTCCCGGAGAACCCCCCAAAGGACACCCCGGGGAACACAGTCGAACGCCTTCTCCAAATCCACAAAGCACATGTGGACAGGTTGGGCGAACTCCCATGAACCCTCGAGTATCCGATGGAGAGTATAGAGCTGGTCCAGTGTTTTGCGACCGGGACGAAAACCACACTGCTCCTCCTGGATCCGAGATTCGACCATCGGCCGTAGCCTCCTCTCCAGTACCTTGGAGTAGACCTTACTGGGGAGGCTGAGGAGTGTGATCCCACGATAATTGGAACACACCCTCCGGTCCCCCTTCTTGTAGAGAGGGACCACCACCCCGGTCTGCCACTCCATTGGCACCGCCCCCGATCGCCACGCGATGTTGCAGAGACGTGTCAGCCAAGACAGTCCTACAACATCCAGAGACTTTAGATAATCAGGGCGGATCTCATCCACACCCGGAGCTTTGCCACCATGGAGGCTACCAACCACCTTGGTGACCTCAGCCAGGGAGATGAATGTATCCGCCCCAACATCCTCAGCCTCTGCCTCTGAAACAGAGGACGTGACGGGGGGATTGAGGAGAACCTCAAAGTATTCCTTCCACCGCCCGACAATATCCCCCGTCGAGGTCAGCAGCTCTCCACCCGCACCGTACATGGTGTTGGCAAAGAACTGCTTCCCCCTCCTGAGGCGCCGGACGGTTTGCCAGAATTTCTTTGAGGCCGACCGATAGTCATGCTCCATGGACTCTCCGAACTCCTCCCAGTCCCGGGTTTTTGCCTCTGCAACAGCCCGGGCCGCGGCACGCTTGGCCTGCCGGTACTGGACAGCTGCCTCAGGAGTCCCCCGAACCATCATGGCTCGATAGGACTCCTTCTTCAGCCTGACAGCATCCTTTACTGCCGGTGTCCACCACCGGGTTCGGGGGTTGCCGCCGGGACCAGCACCAGAGACCTTGCGACCACAGCTACGAGCCGCAGCATCGGCGATTGAGGCAGAGAACATGGTCCACTCGGACTCCATGTCCCCCTCCTCCACCGGGACCTGGGAGAAACTCTCCCGGAGGTGTGAGTTGAAAGTCCGTCTGACAGGGGGCTCAGCGAGCCGTTCCCAGCAGACCCTCACTATACGCTTGGGTCTGCCAGGTCTGACCGGCTTCTTCCCCTGCCAGCGGATCCAACTCACGACCAGGTGGTGATCGGTTGACAGCTCCGCCCCTCTCTTTACCCGAGTGTCCGAGACACGCGGTCGAAGGTCAGATGATACGACAACAAAGTCGATCATCGACCTCCGGCCTAGGGTGTCCTGGTGCCACGTGCACTGGTGGACACCCTTGTGCTCGAACATGGTGTTCGTGATGGACAAACTGTGACTGGCACAGAAGTCCAACAACTGAACACCGCTCGGGTTCAGATCAGGGGGGCCGTTCTTCCCGATCACCCCTCTCCAAGTGTCACTGGCGTTTCCCACATGGGCGTTGAAGTCCCCCAGGAGAATGTCGGCCAAATATGTGGACTGTAATTCAGAGAGGGAATATAAACAAAGCAAGCACGCACTCCTTTATTTAAGGAGAGACCATAGAGAGCGACAGACCATGGAGAGAGAGACAGGCCATAGAGAGAGACAGGCCATAGAGAGAGACAGGCCATAGAGAGAGACAGGCCATGGAGAGAGACAGGCCATGGAGAGAGAGACAGGCCATAGAGAGAGACAGGCCATGGAGAGAGAGACAGGCCATAGAGAGAGACAGGCCATGGAGAGAGACAGGCCATGAGAGAGAGACAGGCCATAGAGAGAGACAGGCCATAGAGAGAGACAGGCCATAGAGAGAGACAGGCCATGGAGAGAGAGACAGGCCATGGAGAGAGACAGGCCATGGAGAGAGACAGGCCATGGAGAGAGACAGGCCATGGAGAGAGACAGGCCATGGAGAGAGACAGGCCATGGAGAGAGACAGGCCATGGAGAGAGACAGGCCATGGAGAGAGACAGGCCATGGAGAGAGAGACAGGCCATAGAGAGAGACAGGCCATGGAGAGAGACAGGCCATGGAGAGAGAGACAGGCCATGGAGAGAGAGACAGGCCATGGAGAGAGACAGGCCATGGAGAGAGACAGGCCATAGAGAGAGACAGGCCATAGAGAGAGACAGGCCAGGCCATAGAGAGAGATAGGCCACGGAGAGAGAGACAGGCCATGGAGAGAGAGACAGGCCATGGAGAGAGACAGGCCATGGAGAGAGACAGGCCATGGAGAGAGAGACAGGCCATGGAGAGAGAGACAGGCCATGGAGAGAGACAGGCCATAGAGAGAGACAGGCCATAGAGAGAGAGATAGGCCACGGAGAGAGAGACAGGCCATGGAGAGAGAGACAGGCCATGGAGAGAGACAGGCCATGGAGAGAGACAGGCCATAGAGAGAGTCAGGCCATGGAGAGAGAGACAGGCCATAGAGAGAGTCAGGCCATAGAGAGAGATAGGCCATGGAGAGAGACAGGCCATGGAGAGAAAGACAGGCCATAGAGAGAGACAGGCCATGGAGAGCGACAGGCCATAGAGAGAGATAGGCCATGGAGAGAGATAGGCCATGGAGAGAGACAGGCCATGGAGAGAGACAGGCCATGGAGAGAGAGACAGGCCATGGAGAGAGACAGGCCATGGAGAGAAAGACAGGCCATAGAGAGAGACAGGCCATGGAGAGAGACAGGCCATAGAGAGAGATAGGCCATGGAGAGAGATAGGCCATGGAGAGAGACAGGCCATGGAGAGAGACAGGCCATGGAGAGAGAGACAGGCCATGGAGAGAGACAGGCCATGGAGAGAGACAGGCCATGGAGAGAGACAGGCCATAGAGAGAGACAGACCATGGAGAGAAACAGACCATAGAGAGAGACAGGCCATGGAGAGAGACAGGTCATGGAGAGAGACAGGCCATGGAGAGAAGGAGACCATAGAGAGACCTGGACCAGAGAGAGATGGACCAGAGAGAGATGGACCAGAGAGAGATGGACCAGAGAGAGATGGACCAGATGGGGATTAACCAATCGCTAAGAACTAACACCCATATTAGGAAATTGGCTTCAGCAAGCTCATGTACAAATCAGGATTTATTTTATTTTTTTCCGCAGAGTTACCGTGACAACGTCATACTTCGGCCATGCGGAGCAGGTGTCACAGGAGACCTACCAGTATGTGGACTGTGGAGGCAACACCACGATACTGCACTCCCCCCACAGCCAGGCCTACCGGGAGTGAGGCCCCCAGCTCCAGCACCAGAGAGGCTGGTGTAGTGTTCCACATGGCTCCAGACAGCCTCTAGAGACTGTGGGAAAATGTGACTTTGACTGTGACCCACTTGTGATGAAGCAACATTCCCACGTTAATAAGGAACTGAGAACTGGTTTTGAAATGTAACTTGGTTTTTCTTTGCCACTTTTCGCAGACTTTGCGTTGAAGGAGATATTATGCACATCCACTTGAGCTCTTAAACATGAAAAACAGATGTGAAGATCTTTTTAGATCAGTCAACGCTGATGCTAAGAACTTCTTTCTGGCACAGAGTTACCGAGATCACTGTAACTCTAAACTATCTACTTATTCATCTGACTTCCCACAGTCAGAGCGTTCATGAGGAGCTGGTGACACAGACACAGAAGTAAAACTATCTGTGTGTCTAAAACTCTTCAGAGCCACTTTGTCATCGTGCCGCTATGATGTCATCGTGCCACTATAAATTCCCAAAAGTAATTTATAAATAATTAATTAATAACAAAATGATTGGGCAGAGACAACCACTGATGACCTCTGTCCCCTTTGGTTTATGCCACACTAACTTTACACAGTGTTTGTAAAGTTATTTATGTGAATGGGATAAAACTTCTATACTAAGTGAATGAATTTCTTTCAAACTTCTTTTATATGGAAAAGGGAATGTCACAGATTGATTTCGATACATGCAGATGTCTAGTATTTTAATAATATATTTTGTTCGTAAATGTAGGTTGATTTCATTTTAGTGTTTTTGAAATTTCTCCCAATTTATATCAAAGTCAAAAGGTGGGCTTTATGGGCTGTAATTATTTTTATTATTATTGATCTGTTTCTTCTGTTCACCTGACTAATATGGTTGTGTTATGCCATCTCTGCCCTGTAGATGGGGCTAAGTAACCGCCTTCACGTCTTTTTGAATAAAGGAGGATTTATGGGTGTCCATGATTGTGATAAAATAAAATGTTTACTAAACTTGTTAATTTCTGATTTTAATTCACAGAAGTCCTTTACATCTAAACATTATAACTTGTGTTTCAAAATACACGTTTTAAAAGCTGTGGTACCAAAAGGTGATGGCTGAGTGAGTAGTAGTATCCTCACCAAAAGTGACAGAGGCCAAAAATACATGTTAAATAGAGAGATTAGAGAGGGACTCCCACTGTCTGCTGTTGTTGTGTCCTTGGCAAAACGCTTAACCTCTGGGAACACCGGCCACAGTGGGGCGGCTGCGGCTGGACAAATTGCCGTTGTATCCTTAGGCAAGACACCCCCCCCCCCCCCCCCCCCCCATTAGAATGAGTCTGGAGTGTGTGTGAGTGGTTGGTGGTCGGAGGGGCCGATGGCACATGTATGGTTGCCTCCCTTCTGTCAGTGTGCCTCAGGGCATCTGTGGCACACTGTTATTATTCAGTGAATGAATAATGACACATGTGAAGCGTCTTTGAGTGTCCAACAAAGCGCTATATAAAACTGATGCATTATTATTATTAGTGACAGAACCAAACTACTTTGAAAAAAAAAAAAATAGCGAGGATCTATGGTTACTTGGATCTTATTGTTTTTTGTGGTTTCATGGTTAGATGCCCTAGCTTTATATGAGTTTACAGTAGAGATGTTGGATACATTTTCTTTGCTTATGTAACCTTGAAAATAGTTTGAAGAATCTTCCCCAGTAAAATGTCTGTAACTGTGATGTCACAGTGAACATGTTCAGTGAAACATAGTGTGGCTTTTCTTCATAATTGTGTTTTTGGTCAAAAAAGTGAAACTCTGAAATGGTGTCTGCCTTTTTGTTGAAAATCTGATGTTGTGTTTCTACAACTGACGACAACGTCCTCCTAATTAATTAATGAGACGTTCTTCCGATGTCTGTGTGATTGTAATGATTATAATGACAGACAATTTCAGAAAATTAGATGCAATCAGATTACAAATGATGACGATTACAGTAATAAATAACACAACATAAAGAGCGTCTTCCCTTTTCATCGTGATATAATTTAGTTTCAGAAAGGTTAGGTTGAAAAGTGAATTTACCCTGGAGAAACGTCTTTTGAAAATAATGAACAGAAGATTTTAAGGTACGATATTTTCCACTGCTATTCATCTATTTATTAATGACTACAGGAGCCATAGTCCGGTTCCTGGGGCCATGTAGTCTTACATTTGTATTCCTGATGTCCCTTGGACTGGCAAAATGAGGACCGCGGTAAAGTGGGCCGCATCTTTCACCTCCGAAGTAAAACGGCCCGCATCGAGAGAAAAGCAGTGCGCGTTTTGTTGACTGCTTACGGTAATAGCAGAACAGCCTTTCGCAGTCAGCTTTTCTCCTCGAACAGAAAGCGCGCTTAGGAGACTCGTTTTGTGAATAAACCCTTATTTGGAAAAGCATGTAAAAACTTAAAATGTTCGACATTTAATTTGGTCAAAAAGTGAAATTTTCAGCTGCTGTCCATTTTTACAGTAAAGACTTGAGTGTCTTATTCCACTGGGTTCATGACCTCACCACTGCCTTCACCGCTGTGCCTACAACCAAAAACCTTTACTTTGGAAATTGTGGGTAAAATTGAGACAAAGCCCAAAATACACAAAACTAAGAACATTCCCACCTTTGATCTACTGTAACTTTTTACTGTAAAAAGGTGTGCGACTAATTTCACTGGATTCATGACGTCATGATTGTCCTCTACCACTGTACCAAAGACCAGACACTTTTACTGTATAAATATTGAGAAATATTGATTTAAAGTAGCCATTTTGGTCCAAAATAGCCTAAAAATGGTCAAAAAATGTCACTTTTTATCTACTGTAACTTTTTACTGTAAAAAGGTGTGCGACTAATTTCACTGGATTCATGACTTCATTATTGTCCTCTACCAGAGCTGTATTTGCATTGCCGGCAGGTGCAGGCTGCCCTTTTTCACCGCTTCTGTTTACTGTCATAATGGACAGAATTTGTAGGTGCAGCCAGGGGTCGGAGGGGGTCCGGTTCGGAGACCACAGGATTTCATCTCTGCTGTTTGCCGACGATGTTGTCCTGTTGGCTCCAAGGAACCAGGACCTGCAACATGCACTGGGACGGTTGCAGCCGAGTGTGAAGTGGCTGGGATGAGAATCAGCACCTCCAAATCCGAGGCCATGATGCCTGACCGGAAAAAGGTGCCTTGCCCTCTCGAGTAATGAGTAATGATTATTTATATAGCGCATTTATATATATATATATAAAAAATTATATAGCGGAAAAAAAAGCATCTGCGCATGCGTCAGCCGGCGCAAGCTCCATTCATTTGAACGAGAGACTTAAAAAATTCACAGCGAGTAAAGTAGAGTGGTCCAAAAAAATTCACCCCCCTCATCATTGACACACATGTGGAACGGAGCTTTGGGCCAAGAGCCAACTTTTGGACCATCCTTTTTGAGAGGTCTGCCAATGCTATACGTTAGCATTGGCTAATTCTTAATCCGGGTCCACCCCCATCGGACCGGGGTGGTATTGCAAACATGTCAGCGCATCATTTTGGCCACTTTCGAGCCGGGACCCTCCCCCACTGATCAGCCCCCAATCTTCATTATCCATTAATACCTATTGAGCATGTTTTTAGTGCCAGGGGAAACCGGAGCACCCAGAGGAAACCTATGCAGACACGGGGAACATGCAAACTCCACTCAGTAAGGCACTGTTCCGACTGGGATTCGAACCCAGGACCTTCTTGCTGAGAAGCGAGAGTGCTATCCACTCAGCCACCGTGCCGCCAAAGTGGAGAGGTCCTTCCTCACGTGGAGGAGTTCATGTATCTCGGGGTCTTGTTCACGAGTGAGGGAAGGATGGAGCGTGAGATTGACAGGTGGATTGGTGCAGCGTGCGCAGTGATGCGGCCACTTTTGATTTACCGGTCAATTCTTGTTCCCTCCATCACCTCTGGTCATGAGCTTTGGATAATGACCGAAAGAACGAGATTGTAGATACAAGCGGTGGGAAAGACTGGTTGGGCACTCCCTTAAGGTGTTTTCACCCCGGACTCAACTTAGACTTGAAAAGCATCAGTTTTGCACTGAAAATGAATAGTGAAGCGCGTCAGGTGACGCTGAGAGGCCCGGTGACGCTGAGAGGCCCGGTGACGCTGAGAGGCCCGGTGACGCTGAGAGGCCCGGTGACGCTGAGAGGCCCGGTGACGCTGAGAGGCCCGGCTTCACTTGAAGCGCTTCAAAAGACGCGAGCATTATGCACGTCACTTGAAGCTTTTGACACGCGTAATGCTTGCGTCTCTTTTGTTGTAAAAAAGTCCCTTAACGCCGAAGTTGAGAAAAGCTTTTGGAGCTTGACGCCGGGCTTCAACCAATCTGGAGACGAGGAGCAGCAGTAGCAGCAGCAGCAGCAGGGCTGTCATGTAGCTGCTACTGCTTTTTCATTGTCATTATTGTTATTTGTAATATTATTTGTTTGAATAGTAACGTTCTTAAAAAGTCCATTCATCCATCCCTCCATTTTCTTCCCTTTAATCCATTTCTGGGTCAGGGGGGTGGCAGTCAGAGATGCCACCCAAGTCTCATAGCACCAGCCCCTCACTGACCCTCTGCAGGTGGTGAGTCCACAGGAGGACGGCTGCTCTCTGAGTGTGAGCATAGCCTTGATCTTTCAGTGGGGGCTTTGGGCAAAGCGGGGTTAAGTGTCTTGCCCAAGGACACAACGACAGCAGTCATCAGTGGGAGTCGATGGAGAAGGTGCAGAGGTGGGAAATGAACCCACGACCTTCTGGCCTTAAGGCCAATGCTCTACCAACTGAGCTACTGTCGCCCCGTTCTTAAAAAGTAAGTAACACAATCAATGTACATATGCTGTGAAGTTAAAGTAATTTATTTAGTATAAGATCAATCTAGAATCCTATCGACAATTGTGTGTGTGTGTGTGTGTGTGTGTGTGTGTGTGTGTGTGTGTGTGTGTGTGTGTGTGTGTGTGTGTGTGTGTGTGTGTGTGTGTGTGTGCCTGTTTGTGAGGGACGAGAGCGAGTGTGTGTATGTGTGTGTGTCTGCCTATGTGTGAGGGACGAGAGAGTGTGTGTGTGTGCCTATGTGTGAGGGACGAGAGAGAGAGCGTGTGTGTGTGTGTGTGCCTGTGTGTGAGGGACGAGAGAGAGAGCGTGTGTGTGTGTGTGTGCCTGTGTGTGAGGGACGAGAGAGAGAGCGTGTGTGTGTGTGTGTGTTTCTCTGTGTGTGAGGGACGAGAGAGAGTGTGTGTATGTGTGTGTGTGTGTGAGGGACGAGAGAGAGAGCGTGTGTGTGTGTGTGTGTTTCTCTGTGTGTGAGGGACGAGAGCGAGTGTGTGTATGTGTGTGTGTCTGCCTATGTGTGAGGGACGAGAGAGTGTGTGTGTGTGCCTATGTGTGAGGGACGAGAGAGAGAGCGTGTGTGTGTGTGTGTGCCTGTGTGTGAGGGACGAGAGAGAGAGCGTGTGTGTGTGTGTGTGTTTCTCTGTGTGTGAGGGACGAGAGAGAGTGTGTGTATGTGTGTGTGTGTGTGAGGGACGAGAGAGAGAGCGTGTGTGTGTGTGTGTGTTTCTCTGTGTGTGAGGGACGAGAGAGAGTGTGTGTATGTGTGTGTGTGTGTGAGGGACGAGAGAGAGAGCGTGTGTGTGTGTGTGTGTTTCTCTGTGTGTGAGGGACGAGAGAGAGAGTGTGTGTATGTGTGTGTGTGTGTGAGGGACGAGAGAGAGAGCGTGTGTGTGTGTGTGTGTGTGTTTCTCTGTGTGTGAGGGACGAGAGAGAGTGTGTGTATGTGTGTGTGTGTGCCTGTGTGTGAGGGACGAGAGAGAGTGTGTGTATGTGTATGTGTGTGTGTGTGTGAGGGACGAGAGAGAGAGCGTGTGTGTGTGTGTGTGTGTGTTTCTCTGTGTAAGTATCCTGATCGCGCGCGTGCATGTTTGTGCGTCGCGGAGCCTGGGACGCTGCGTGTGGAAACAGCAGGAGCGTCTCTCTGTAGAGGAGCAGAATGAAGCGTGACGTTTGTGTTCTTCAGATCCTCGTGCTGCTGATTCCTCATGTCCGAACAGGTAAGTCCACTCTGCGTCAGTCCTCTTCAAACCACTTCAGTCAACTTCAATCCAATTCTTCTTGTTCTTGTGGGAAACATTTGGGCTTAAAGCAGGATCCCACACTACAATTCGTGTGTGCCGTTCACTCACACGCGTAAAAATATAGCATATAATATAGCATGATCATATAACGTAAAAAGTCCCTTCAGGCCTGCAGTGGTGTACTGCTCTGCTGTAAAGTTAACACCATACAGAGACTCACGGGGCCTCAATCGGGAGAACAGCAGAGCAGAGCAGAGCAGAGCAGAGCAGAGCAGAGCAGAGCAGAGTAGAGTAGAGTAGAGTAGAGTAGAGTAGAGTAGAGTAGAGTAGAGTAGAGTAGAGTAGAGTAGAGTAGAGTAGAGTAGAGTAGAGTAGAGCAGAGCAGAGCAGAGCAGAGTAGAGTAGAGTAGAGTAGAGTAGAGTAGAGTAGAGTAGAGTAGAGCAGAGCAGAGCAGAGCAGAGTAGAGTAGAGTAGAGTAGAGTAGAGTAGAGCAGAGCAGAGCAGAGCAGAGCAGAGTAGAGTAGAGTAGGTGGATACAGAGCTTTTGTGCATTGATGTTATGTACAACTCTTGTGTGCCCTTTTGGTTCCCAGGCGAGCATCCCCCGGCCCCCTCCTCTGTGCGTGTCTCTTCCGAGGCCCATGGAGGCGGGATTTACCTGAAGTGTTCCTTTGAAACTCGCCCTGGCAGCTTCCTGGGCTTTGTGGTGGTCTGGTTACGGCTCTCTGCTCTGGGACTGAGGGAGGAGCTGAGGCAGGAGACCACTGTCCACACCTCTGTCCACATAGAGCTGGACGGCTTCAACCTACGACTGGGGGACAAGGTCAGACCAGCCTCATGTGACATCTGAGCGACCCATTTGTAACCAGAGACTGTATTCAGACACACAACGCTAACATAAACCCTGTTTTTACAAATCCTTTTTGGGCCTACTCTACTCTGCTTCACTACACTCTACCTGGTTGTGTTCCAGTATACTTTTGTAACAGGTACCGAATCCTCACAACCTCCCCACCCCAAACCAGTGTTAAGGCCAGATCTCTGTCAGTTAGAACTCCTCATACAGAAACTAGAGCACTGAGTTGGTGTTGCTGCCACCGACCTAAGTTGGTTTATGTCTTGCCTTGAAGACAAGAAGTAGTTTGTGGAGATTGGAAACTGTGTCTCAGGTCATATGGCCCTGACCTGTGCCACAGGGGTCGATCCTGGGACCTCTTCTGTTCAATTTCTACATGCTGCCATTAGGTCAGTTTTTTACACAGTAACATGTCCTGTCAAAACGTCGCAGATGACACTCAGATCTATGTCTTATTGACAGAGAACATGGACCAGTCGACTCACTCCTTCACTGCATCCAACAGATCAGTGAGTGAATGCAAAACAACAAAAAACTGGGCTTAGACTTACATTTTAACAGCTACATCAAATCAGTAACATCAGCAGCTAAAAAACATTGCCATTATCAAATATAGTGTCTAAAACAGACTTGGAGATTCTAGTCTAGACTTAGGTCTTTAGTAGGTCAGATTTCTGTAATGCACTGCTCACTGGTCTCTCAAAACAAGCTGTAAAACTGCTGCAGAATATTCAAAACACTGCAACATCAGTCCTGACTTGAACCAGGAAGTACGATTACATCAGTCTCATTCTCAGGTCTCTGCACTGGCTTCCTGCTAAATAGACTTTAAGGCTGCGGTCACAAGCACCACCTAAAGCCCAGTTAGAGTGGGCCTATGCCCACATCGTGATTAGATCCGGGCTTTAGGTGCTGTGGGACGGTGGCAACTGGGCTTAAGCACTGATGCAGCAAACGTGCTTGGGCACAGTTGAGCGAGGTGGGCCTGAGCACAGTTGTAAAGCCCAGATGAAGGGGTAATGGGAGGGGGGGAATGAGGTGTGGTGGGGACGTGATATTGTGCGTCATGGATACGTGTGCATTTTTACACACATATCCAAAAGTATCCCGGCAGTTGCATACTTTTCCATTCTCCCTTGCTTGTGTTATCTTTAATGTGAGCCCCCGGGAAATTTGTTGCTCCAGGGCCGAGAGATGTGTTTCCTTCCGGGGATGACTCCCTTCTGTTTTGATCCTGGTTGTTACAGTGTGGTGTTATTCCAATAACACTCCAAACGGTATTTCAAGAGTCGCAATCTCAAGCTGTTGGCCACCAGCTGGACCCAGCGTTGTACTGTACTGAATTTGGGCTTGCATGTTTGAAAAAAATAAACCCTGCGGGCCATGTAACCGTGCCTTAAAGCAGCTCTGCTTGTGTACAAGTCTCTCCATGGCCTCACACCCAAGTACATCAGAGACATGTTTGTGCCATATGAACCAACTCGGACTCTAAAGGGCACAGGGACTGGCCTCCTGCTGGAGCCCAGAACCAGGGACAAAAGGGACTGAAGAAGCACCTGGTACTGGTTAAACAGGGCCAGTGGAAACACTCTCAGTCAGGGGAGATTAGAGTAGAGGAAAGTAGTATAGGGCCAAGTCAGGCTGGTGGAAATGGGGCTATAGACTGTATGCAGTATGCTAACCTGCTAGCTCAATGAAGCCCAAAAAGGTAAGTGCTAAGTAATAAAGTTTTGCCACAACTTTCTCTGGCTCCTGCATGTAAAAGTAAACTCCTCTCATCTCACATCATTTAGATCTTATTTTGTGACATCACCTGTTCCAGATTTACTGCTCCAGTTCCAGTTTCTTTCTGGACTCTCCTGAGGTCCGCAGCCCGGCGGTGGACAGTGCAGAGTTCTTTGCTGGACTCCGTGTAAGTCCCTGTGTCTTCGTTACACTGTGGTCCTGCAGGTCTTTATCCTGAGGTTCTCTACAGATGACAGTATCTGAGAGCAGCGTTCTGGAGGAGGGCGGGGTGTACCAGCTGCTGCTGGAGAGCACGGTCCCTCTGCCATGTGTGAAGGACTCAGACCGCTGCAGTCTACTCTTACAGCTCAACACCATCAGCCAAGGTCTGGGCCACTACTGCCATTAACTGACCCTTAAAAATATATAATTATATATTGTTTATTTAGTCATGTCAGTGCATGGTTACAACCACCTGTCTGGTTTGTAACCTTGGGCTGATTCATCCAACTCTTTTCAAGTCGCCATTCAAATTGGTACAATTCAACAACATTCAGATCATAAATAGAAAAGTCTTAAAAATTGGGCTGGTTTCGGATCAGTTAGGCAGATTTTTGTAGCCAAAACACCGGAAATTAAAAAAGTGGATATCCGAAGGGTGAGTAATTCATATACTGGCACCCTCTCCAACTGTAGAAGGAGCACTTTCCAACAAAATAAAGCAAACTGAAATCTCTGTATGTATAAATATAAAGACTATGCTGTATAAATAAACTTGACTTGGCATAAGGAAAATATACATAAATTATGACACCAACAATAAATGTAGTTCAAAAAGTAGTGGATGCTTTTTTTTCTTTTCTTTTTAAAGCGGATCAGTTTAAAGCTTGTTTTAAAATGTCCATGTAACAAGAAACAAACCAAAACCATTTTGGCTGTTTTTTAATTTTTCGCTCTTGCCGGTTTTGACGAGGTCTTGGGCTGGAAAATCTTGCAGGCATCTGGGAATACTTCATTGAACTTCTTTCAATAAACAAGAACATTTGACAGTGATCTCCAAGCACTGTCTCCTGCTCTAGAGTGTCTTTTCATTCATTGCAATCCGTTCTGCGACTCTCTGATTATCATCCTGCGGGATTTTAATAAGGGAAATTTGAGCCAGGAATTACAAAAGAGCCTAAGCTATTCCCTAGTCTGTGACTTCTTGTTACTTACATGGCAACAACAGTTATTCTGATTCTGATGATCCACTCTGAAAGATGAACCTTACAACAGGTACTAAAAGCATCTCTCCAGAGCAAGCAGCTGCTGACCTGTGCTTGTGTTTCAGAGGAGGAGCAGTTGGGAGCCGACGTGTCCCTCTCCTCTTGTGCGGTGGAGCTGACCTCTGACCCCTGTGCAGACGGCCCCTGCAGCCGGACCTCGCTCCACGTCAGCCCCATTACAGACTTTATCCTGGACGGAAACAGGTCGACCATCATCTCAGTCAAAGCCATTGTCACAGAGAACGTCGTGTGGAGCGGGTACTCCCCTGAGCCGTTGCAGGTGAGGGAGGTGCAGAGAAGAAACAAACATCTCAATATAAAGATGTATATGGTGTGTGTTTGTGTGTGTGTGTGTGTGTGTGTTTGTGTGTGTGTGTGTGTGTGTGTGTGTGTGTTTGTGTTACAGATACAAGTGCAAGATGTCCAGTCTGCATACTGCTACAGCTTCACTGATCCTCACACTGTCACCTTTGATGGGAGGTCAGGACCAGATTCTCACAACATTCAACAACATTAGACAAGATTAAAAAAAAATAACAGCACCCAAAACTCTATTCTATTCTCTATTACATCATCATTCTCATTTGGTCAGAGGAACCACTTGGGCTGGATCTGGGGGTACACACTTTTTCAGATCCATCCATGTTAATATCTGGAACTCCTGGCACAAACATGTAGCTCCACTCCTTCTGTCTAAAAGCTCCTGTCTCAGATCTCGCTGCTCCCTCTGGGGCAGCATAAGAGTTAAAGGCCATTATCTAAATAGTTGATATTTCTAAAACATTAAATGACGAATTAAAATTTTCTATAGCCAAAATTTTTTTATCTAAACATTCACATACTATTTTACCCTGTTGTGTCCCGCTTATGAAAATCTATTGTTCCATGTACTGTCACACATAATCATTTCTTGCAGGTGTTATGAAAACTCCCAGATCGGCACGTTTGTCCTGTTCCAGAGCGCTGCGTGTGGTGTAGAGGTCCAGGTGCGCCTGTGGGAGTGCGGTGGCGTGGAGCACGCAGCCTCCTGCGTTTGTGGCTTTGTGGTCCGAGACGGAGGCGATGTTGTCTCCTTTGACATGTGTGAAGGAGAGCTGGGAGAGACCTTTCCACAGCTGAACGTGAAACACAGGGGCCCCCGGAGCAAACTGCGCATCACAGAGTCCTATCAGGGACGCAAACTCACGGTGGGTTTACACCATAGATCTATAATAATAACTGGATAGGGTATTACTAGCTTATAGCTGTCCCACCCATGGACACAGGGGGCGCTGTGGTACTGCAGACTGAATTCACGTGGGCTACCAAGAAAAATGTTCCATACGACTCAATGTATAATAAAACAGCTCGACCTCAGCTGACAGAGAATCTACAGCTTTCATGAAAATCAGATTTTCTGGGGATTCTCTTGTCACTTTTCTTCTTAAATCCTTCGATTTTCTCTAAATCCACACTTTACTGCCACAAACTCTGCTCGTTTCCTTCCCGCTCTGGCTCCGCTCTAACACTGCTCTGATCAGTTAAAAGCACGGCCGAGCCCCACTGTGCACGTGCATGAGAGCCACACACACACGTATTTGGCGCAACGCATCATGGGAGATCATCCACTGCGCAGAACCGGGAGGACCAGACGATGCCTAGCCTGGTCTTACCACACCATAGTACACATTACATTTCGTACTGAGGTCTGGATTTGTTCCATTGAGCTCCGTTAACAGGTGGGAGGGGCTAACTCTTTTTGCAGATTGAAATGATTGGATCTGAGTTTACTGTGACGTAGGTAATGCGCCCAAGTGAGTCGTTAGCATTTAGCCTAGCTTTATCCATCTCATTTGCCGCAAACAGAGCCCATGGGGAGTAGCGCCACAATCTTTGCCAGCAATTACATTTGCTAAACATTCTTCTTGCTCCGGCTTCAATTAGAACCAGACCGGAATACTTTACTATTGCATTCTTCGCCATTGCCAAACTACAACCTGCCCGTTCGATGCAAACTCATGCAGTAAAATGATGATTGACCGGAGTGTACGGATGGCTAAGGCCAGGCTATACGATGCCCACATATACTGTGGGTGAGTTCTGCTAATCTTTCGGTCTCCGTGAAGTCGCGCTACTGAGCACAAGAAATTCATTTGAATAGGGCGCCATCTTGGCTCACCGGGGCTTGGTTTACACTCAGGGACAGAAGAGAGACCAGCGAGAGACCAGAGAGAGTCCAAAGAGAAGACAGAGAGACCAGAGAGAGACTAGAGAGAGACCAGAGAGAGTCCAGAGAGAAGACAGAGAGACCAGAGAGAGACTAGAGAGAGACCAGAGAGAGTCCAGAGAGAAGACAAAGAGACCAGAGAGAGACTAGAGAGAGACCAGAGAGAGTCCAGAGAGAAGACAGAGAGACCAGAGAGAGTCCAGAGAGAGTCCGGAAGGAGACCAGAAAGACTAAAGAAAGAGTCCAGAGAGAGACCAGATGGAGACGAGAGTGAGAGTCCAGAGAGAATCCAGAAAGAGACCAGATAGAGACCAGAGGGAGAGAGAGAGAGAGAGAAGGACTCCAGCAAGAAACCAGAGATAGAGAGACTAGATAGAGACCATTGAGACATTGCACTTAGAGTAGTTTTATGCTTTTAAAACAGTAAAAGTGTTGGCCATAAATTATTTCTGGTCATTTTTCATGTGAATTGACACTCTTTACAATTGCATAAGATATGGTAAGATAAAAGACAATTGAGAAATTTACATTTGGAATAAATATGATCCCTCAGGATGTGCAAAAAGACACACAAAAACATTTGTGCAAGGTATGTCTGTGTTTGCGGCTCCTCTGATGGCAGAATGACTACAAACACTGCTCCCTCTGGTGGCAGTGTGGTAGTGGGTCTATACGTTCAGGGCCACATAGATTTTATTGAATCATAAATTAAGTTTAAAACCATAGAAGAAAGAAACCTGGGGACTTTCCATTATTGTTGATAGGCTCTGCAAGTTTATTTGTATAGCAAAATTCATACACAAGGCAACTTAAAGTTCTGAACAGAACAAGATAGCGACAGTCAAAGCATTAAAATAAATAAGTATTCACAGTTCATTAAAAAGAGTAAAGATAAAATTCCTCAGTTGTATGAACAGCTAAGAAGAACTGTTTACACCTGGATTTAAACATTGTAACAGAAGAAGCTTGTCTCACATTTTCAGTAAGACTGTCCCCATGTTTAGTCCTGACCTTGGGCCCCTGGGCGCCAGGAGGAGGCAGGCCTTGTGCTCCTTAGTGTCCGAGATGGTTCATATGGCACGAACATATGGACTTTGGTGCGAGGCCATGGAGAGACTTGTACAAAAGTAGAGCTGCTTTAAAGTCTATGTTACAGTGCCTAGTGGAGACAATATCATTGATAAGAATCTCCAAGTCTGCTTTAGACACTATGTTTTTGATCCTGTCAATGCTTTTTTGGTGGTAAAAAGCTGCTGATGTTACTGATTTGATTACTATGAAAATGTGAGTGCAGTTTTACCCCAACATTTCTGACCTGATTTGAAGGTTTTAGTGAGAGAGGCTGGAGATGACAGATGACGCTCTCTCTTTGTTTCTGAGAACCAAAGATTTCAGTTTTGTCTGCGTTTAGCTGAAGGAAGTTGTTTTGCATCCACTCACTGATCTCAAGATTCAAGATTCAAGATTAATTTATTATGTCCCGTAGGAAATTTGTCTTGGACTCACAGGCTGCTACATTGAAAATACACATAAGACAGACATAAAACACAACACAGTGACACCGACATAAACCATCACCGCTCTGCTCGATGGCCTGCATTCAGGAGGTTCACAGATATGGGTAGGAATGAGTTCTTATACCGGTTTAGATATCGTTTCTTATTTCTAGTGGGTACTCTGTAGCGGCAACACTGATCTGTTGGATACAGTGAAGGAGTGAGTCCACTGGTCCATGTTCTCCTGCAGTCAGTGAGACATAGATCTGAGTGTCGTCTGCATAGTTATGATAGGACACAGTGTTACTGTGAATTAACTGACGTAATGGCGGTGTGTAGAGATTAAACAGAAGAGGTCCCAGGATTGATCATTTTGTTACTCCACAGGTCAGGGTCATATGTGGACAGTTTACAATCTCCACAAAGTATTTTCTGTCTTCAAGGTGCCAGCGACACCAACCCAGTCCTCTAGTCTCTGTAAAAGGATCTCATGGTTGACAGTGTCAAAAGCTGTCTTGAAATCTATCAGGATTAAGATTGAGACTTTGCCTGCATCAGTGTTCAGTCAGATATAGTTTGTTACCTTGACAAGAGCGGCCTCAGTGCTGTGGTGGGGTCTAAAGCCGGACTGGAACATATCAAATGTATTTTTTTGTGATTTCATTGTATTGTATTATATTGTATTGTATTGTTGATAATAACAAATTTGGTTAGCTGTTGGTAGACAACAGTACAGCAGTTTTCAAAATGAAAAAAATAATAAAAAATAAACTCCAGTTAGACACAGAGGGGAGGGGGGAGAACGCGTTTCCACATAAAAAACATACAGTGTTTGGATAGTGCTAACTAACAGCATCTGTAGTCCGTATTGCTAGCTGTGGATTTTTCACAGATGACCCTGTCGTCAGGAGCATTCGTCCGAGCGGACGTATCCTCATGGGGGATGAGTCTGACCATAAGGGCCTCTGGAGCAGACAGGGGCCACACCCAGGGACTGTGTGGGACCTACGACGAAGACCCGCACAATGACTTCCACTCCGCTGATGGCACAGAGCCGCTGGACTTGCACAGCTTCGTCTCTGCCTGGAGGTCAGTGACAAGAGGCAAAGACATTATTAAGACAACAGTGTTAGCCTTAATGTGGTATAGGTGTCATGGTGTGGATTTTGTGTTATTTTGTATTTTAGTTTTATTTTGACATCTGTTGGTTTAGTTTTAGTTTTACTTCCTGTCCTGTCCCCTGTCTTGTTGTCTGCCACGCCCTGATGTGTTTCACCTGTGTCTCTGTGTGTCTATGGCCCCGTCCCAATACTCGCACTTCCACCCTCGCGCCCTTCATTTGCGCGTTCCCGATGATGGGTGCGAGGGCGTAGGGTGTCCCAATCCTCCAGGGAGGTCTTTGGCCCCGCCCCCTTTGAACCCCCGATCCACACTTCGCCGTAGCCTGCATCTAAGCGGACTCTGGTCTCTCTCTGGTCTCTCTCTGGTCTCTCTCTCTAGTCTCTCTCTCTGGTCTCTCTCTCTGGTCTCTCTCTGGTCTCTCTCTCTAGTCTCTCTCTCTGGTCTGTCACATTCATGTATTTTGATGAAAATGGAGAGGACCATCCTCACTCTGACAATCAGCTTTCAGTCCAAATAGTCAAAAGAAAGCTTTCTAATAGACAGCATGCTGAGGTCTGATTTGTTCATTAATGTTTACAAGACTCTTCCTGTTGGGACAAAGAACTTGTATTATTAATGTTAAATAAGTAAGCTACCCCGGCATTAATAGTGTGTATAATATTCTTCTCTCCAGACTTCCCCCGGGCTCCAGCCTCTTTGACTCGGTGCCTTCGTCTCTGAGTGAGACCATTCCTCTTCAGTTCTGTCTCTGCTCCCACACAGCTGCAGTCAGCCTGAGCCCTGACCTCCCCTGCCCTCAGCCCTCCCCTCACCCTGGGAGCATCCCACCCTCCTCCCTGATCCCGTCTCTGGATGTCACTCAGGAGTACCTCACCCCAGCAGAACTCCTCCAAACACAGACACAGGACAACCGGTACGACTGAACCACTAACCACTCACATCTTTTGGTCAATTATTTATGTATTTGAGAAAGGAGGAAGGCAAGGCAAGGCAAGTTTATTTGTATAGCACAATTTATACACAAGGCAACTCAAAGTGCTGAACAAAATAAGAAAGCATTAAAATCATAAATAATCACAGAACATTAAAGAGAAAGATAAAAATATTAAATCCCTCAGTTGTAGCACAGTTAAACAGAACTGTTTTTAACCTGGTTTTAAACATTGTCAGAGAGGAGGCCTGTCTCACATCTTCAGGAAGATTGTTCCAGATTTTAGCAGCATGAATCTGAAAAGCAGCCTCCCCATGTTTAGTTCTGACTCTGGCACTAACAGGAGTCCAGTCCCTGTGCTCCTCAGAGTCCCAGCAGGAGTCCAGTCCCTGTGCTCCTCAGAGTCCCAGCAGGAGGCCAGTCCCTGTGCTCCTCAGAGTCCCAGCAGGAGTCCAGTCCCTGTGCTCCTCAGAGTCCCAGCAGGAGTCCAGTCCCTGTGCTCCTCAGAGTCCCAGCAGGAGGCCAGTCCCTGTGCTCCTCAGAGTCCCAGCAGGAGGCCAGTCCCTGTGCTCCTCAGAGTCCCAGCAGGAGGCCAGTCCCTGTGCTCCTCAGAGTCCCAGCAGGAGTCCAGTCCCTGTGCTCCTCAGAGTCCCAGCAGGAGTCCAGTCCCTGTGCTCCTCAGAGTCCCAGCAGGAGTCCAGTCCCTGTGCTCCTCAGAGTCCCAGCAGGAGTCCAGTCCCTGTGCTCCTCAGAGTCCCAGCAGGAGTCCAGTCCCTGTGCTCCTCAGAGTCCCAGCAGGAGGCCAGTCCCTGTGCTCCTCAGGGTCCCAGCAGGAGTCCAGTCCCTGTGCTCCTCAGAGTCCGGGCTGGTTCATATGGGACTAACATGTCACTAATATATTTTGGTGCGAGGCCTTGGAGAGACTTGTAACAAGCAGAGCTGTTTTAAAGTCTATTCTCTGAGCCACAGGAAGCCAGTGCAGAGACCTGAGGACTGGACTAATGTGGTCGTACTTCCTGGTTCTAGTCAGGACTAATGCGGTCGTACTTCCTGGTTCTAGTCAGGACTAATGTGGTCGTACTTCCTGGTTCTAGTCAGGACTAATATGGTCGTACTTCCTGGTTCTAGTCAGGACTAATGTGGTCGTACTTCCTGGTTCTAGTCAGGAATAATATGGTCGTACTTCCTGGTTCTAGTCAGGACTAATATGGTCGTACTTCCTGGTTCTAGTCAGGACTGGAGCTGCTGCATTTTGAATGTACTGCAGCTGTTTTACAGCCTGTTTGGACAGACCTGTGAGCAGGCCATTGCAGTAGTCTAACCTACTGGAGACAAATGCATGGATAAGAATCTCCAAGTCTGCTTTAGACACTATGTTTTTGATCCTGGCAATGTTTTTTAGATGGTAAAAAGCTGCTGATGTTACTGATTTGATGTGGCTATTAAAATTTAAGTCTGAGTCCAGTATTACCCCTAGATTTCTGACCTTGTTTGAAGGTTTTAGGGAGAGAGACTGTAGGTGACAGATGACGCTCTCTCTTTGTTTCTGGGGACCAAAGACAATCATTTCAGTTTTGTCTGCGTTTAGCTGAAGGAAGTTGTTTTGCATCCACTCACTGATCTGTTGGATACAGTGAAGGAGTGAGTCCACTGGTCCATGTTCTCCTGCAGTCAGTGAGACATAGATCTGAGTGTCGTCTGCATAGTTATGATAGGACACTTTGTTTCTGCGTATTAACTGACCTAACGGCAGCATGTAGAGATTGAAAAGAAGAGGTCCCAGGATCGACCCCTGTGGGACTCCACAGGTCAGGGCCATATGATCTGAGACACAGTTTCCAATCTCCACAAAGTACTTCCTGTCTTCAAGGTAAGACCTAAACCAACTTAGGGCGGTGCCAGCGACGCCAACCCAGTCCTCTAATCTCTGTAAGAGGATCTCATGGTCGACGGTGTCAAAGGCAGCACTTAGATCTAACAAGATTAAGATTGAGACTTTGCCTGCGTCAGTGTTCAGCCGGATATCGTTTGTAACCTTAACGAGAGCAGTCTCAGTGCTGTGGTGGGGTCTAAAGCCGGACTGAAACATATCAAATGAGTTGTTGATTATAAGAAATCTATTTAGCTGTTGGTAGAGAACTTTTTCAAGGACTATATGGAAGTATGGCTTTACTTCCTGGGTTTGTCACTTACAGTAAATGTGTATTAGTGTCACAGAGTCTGCACCTGTCGCTGAGCTCTAATTGAATAATAAAAATTAAGACTTCCTAATGATACAATTAAAGTGTAACAACCCAAAAAGCATGTAGATAATAATTTAAACAGAAAAATTAAGTAATATCTTCTTATTCACTTCATAACAGAAAATATTATAAACAAGAATGATTTACCTAATATTTTGATATCTGATATTCCTGTATGAAAATAATTACATAACATTTACATAATATCACAAAGTTTAAGGTTAGTAGTAAGTACATTGTACTTGATACTGGTAAGTAAATTATACTTATATATTACAGCATTAAAATGTACTTAGACATTTGGAGTGCAAATACTTAAAATGATTTTATTAAGTAAATTCTACAAGTCATTTCTTTGAGTGTTGGACTAAATGGATTCCACTCGTTCTGTGTTATGACCAGTTAAGGACCCACACCAGTCATAACAGGGATATGTGAAACAATCATTGAAACACAGAGTCACTTAAGTAGTTTGGCAATGTCTTTATTTAAGAGCCAAACTAAAAAGAAATAACAGTGGTGGGAGGAGTGGCGTCGCCCAGTTGTGCCAAAAGAACAAAAGTAAAATATAACAAAAGAGGCCTAACTCACAGGCTAGTCTAATAAAAGAAATGAAATAAAAAATGTCTATTCTATTTTATCTAAAGAAAAGTGGAGTAGAACTCAAAACAACAAGGGTGGTCACAACTGATAAGCTAGGGAATCTAACAAAGGTATCTACGTGTTGTAAATGTAACTTGGCACCAAACTCACCTAACCAAACCTCCACACAGAAACAAATTAGGCTACCACCTGGCAGCTTCTGGCACCTAAGAGAGAGAGCCGCCCAAGACACTCCCCGTTTAAATACTCTCCTTCCCAATTTGCCTCCACTCCACCAATCATGCACCATCCTCCTCCAGGGCACGCCCACAGCACCTGAAGCAGAAGGGAGAGAACAGCAGCACACAGGGAAAGGCAACTGATGCACGCAACACCCCCACCCTTATGAATTCGAGCAGGGTTCGAATATGGCCAGTGGACATCAAGGGACTCTAGAAAGTGCATCAGCAACTATGTTCTCTGATCCTTTTTTGTGCTTTATTACCAGGTTGTAGTTTTGCAGGATCAATGACCATCGCATAAGGCGTTGTGGTTATACATTCGTGAGAGGAATGTAAGAGGGTTGTGATCCGTATACACGAGGGTGGCCTGGGAACCAATATAAATTTCAAAGTGCTGGATGGCCAATAGCAGAGCGAGAGTTTCCTTTTCAATCGTGGAGTACTTTAATTGATGCTTGTTGAACTTACGTGAAAAGTAACTCACAGGATGATCGATGTCCTGATCACCTTCTTGAAGGAGAACTGCTCCTGTCCCCGCCATGCTGGCATCCACCTCTAGCTTGAATGGCCGCTGAAACTCTGGAGCTGACAAAACAGGAGTGCAACACATCATAGCCTTTAAGCTCTCAAAGGACTTCTGACACTCCTCGGACCATACAAATGGCTTGGCAGGACTGGTGAGGGCAGTCAAGGGGGGAGCAACTGTGGATAAGTTTTTACAGAACCTGCGATAGTATCCAGCCATCCCAAGGAATCGACGTAGCTCCCTTCGGGCCGTTGGAGTGGGGAAGGCAACGATCGCAGCGATTTTGGCCTCCACAGGGCACACCTTTCCACTGCCAACCTGCTGACCCAGATACTGCACCGTGCCCTGTCCGAATTCACATTTTGAAAGGTTCAGTGTTAAACTTGCAGCAGACAGACGCCCAAAAACCACCTTCAAACCAGTTTCCCAATCAGGGGTGTAAATCACAATGTCGTCCAGATATACTCTACAATGGGGTACGTCTCCCAACACTTTGTTTACCAACCTCAAAAGTCGCCGGGGAGACCAAATGGCATGACTGTACTGGAGGAAGTAGTCTGGAGTCACAAAATCTGAGATTTCAGAAGCAGTTAACGGAACCTGCCAATATCCCTTCAGCATGTCGAGTTTACTCACAAAGGCTGCAGGACCAATCTCATCGATGCAGTCGTCAATCAATGGCAAGGGGTGCGCATCGGGCACTGTCACTGCATTGACTTTTCGGAAGTCTGTACAAAACCTGGGGCTCCCATCAGCTTTTGTCTCAAGGAGACAGGGGGAACTCCATGCACTTGAACTATGGACAGCAAGCCCATTGTTGAGCAGATATTCTGCTTCTTTCTTCAGTATCTCCCGTTTAGCAGGACTGACCCTGTAAGCGCGCTGCTTAATTGGTGCTGGGGTAGTCAGGACTATGTCGTGCGATATAACAGTAGTCTGTGAGGGAGTGTCACTGAACAGCGTTGGAAAGTCCAGTATGACCCGAGTGATGTCATCACTTTTGTCTTTGGGGAGATCTGACAAATAACTGGTCAAGTTTCTCAGGACTGCTTAGCCTAGCCCCCTGGGGTGTAGCCCTTTTCATGAGCAGGCCATCCTCTGACTCCGTACTCACCCCTACATAAGCAGCAACAGGAGATGTCTTCTCGTCGCCACAGGCACTGGCCGGTGGTTGCTGCTCACCCCGTAGAGCTTCAACATATTCACATGGCAGACCCTTGAGCGCCGCCTTCGGTCCGGTGTGTGAATGACGTAGTTTGTGTCACTCAGCTTCTGGTCTACAACATAGGGGCCAGCGAATTTAGTGGACAATGATGAGCCAGGTATTGGCAAGAGGAGCAGAACCTTGTCTCCAGGCTGGAAGCTGCGAACAACAGCCTTCCTGTCAAAATGCTGCTTAATTTTGATCTGGGAGGAGGCCAAGGCTTCTTTAGCTAGGGCACAAGCTTTCCTTAGACGATCCCTCAGCGTAGTGACATACTCTGGGATGTTTCTGACAGTCCTCTGAGGTGTAATGAGGTGCTCTTTTAGAATTTTCAAAGGACCTCGGACCTCATGGCCAAAGACTAGCTGGGCTGGGCTGAACCCCAACGACTCCTGTACAGCTTCTCTCGCAGCGAACAGTACAAGGGGCACACTTTCATCCCAGTGTCTTTGTGACTCAAAGCAGTGCTTCCTCAACATGGACTTCATGGTTTGATGGAGCCTTTCGAGCACACCTTGACTGTCTGGGTGATAAGGACTAGAAGTCACTTGTTTGATGCCCAATGTGTGCAGAGCGTGTGCAAAGACCTTTGACTTGAAGTTGGTTCCCTGGTCACTTTGATGACCAGGGAACCGGAGACGTGAGACCGGAGACGTGATCTTCCGTAGAGCAACCGCCTCGGGGTACCTGGTGGATGCACACATAATTGTAAGCAGAAACTAATTTCCCGTCTTAGTTCTTGGCAATGGTCACACACAGTCAATAATGACCTTCTCAAAAGGCTCACCCATTACCGGTATAGGGGACAGCGGCGCAGGGGGAATCACCTGATTTGGCTTCCCTGTCATCTGGCAGACATGACATGTGCGACAGTAGTCAACTACATCAGACTTTAGTCCAGGCCAGAAGAAATGTCTGAGCAGCCTATTGTAGGTTTTTGCAATACCCATATTGACCACGGATTGTCATGGGCTAAGGACAGTACCTGGGCACGATAGACTTTGGGCACCACAACTTGATACAGGACTTTTTCACCTCCCGTCCTGGTGACATCGCTGCTCCAGCGGCGCATAAGTAGTCCCTCGTCCATAAGGTATCCCACTTTGTTGGCTCTGCTCCCTTCCTGTTCAACAACAGAGAAACATTTTGAAAGGGATGAGTCACCTTTCTGGGCTGTGATGAACGGCGCTCTTGTGGCTGGTAGCGGGATCGCATCCAGAGCAGCTGGAGTCCTTGATGTGACATCTGGTTTCGCTTGAAAAAACTCTTCAGTAGCCATGAAACTGTCGGACAGGTCAACAGTGTTCTTAGATTGGGACCTGGTCACAGCGCATGCTGGAAATACGTTTGGGGACTCAAGCTCAGTGCTCTGCTCAGGGCGCTCAACCAACTGTGGAACAGGGACCACTTTACTGCCTGCTAAATCGTTGCCCAATATGAAGTCGATGCCCCTGATGGGCAGGGCAGGGAGTACAGAGACTTTCACAAGACCTTTAACCAATGCGGACCATAAGTACACATCGTGTAGAGGGGCTGGGATGAAACTCATCCCTACTCCCTGAACAACGGCGCTAGCATGACATGAGGTCTCATCTGAGAGTGGAAGTATACCAGCTCTGATGATGGACTGAGAACCCCCTGTGTCTCTCAGAATGGTCACTGGTCTCCGGTCACTACCGCTCTCTGTCATAGCAACGTAACCATCTGAAACAAACGGTCCAAACCAGGAGTCAACTTCAGCGCACTTAGGGTTCAGAGTGTTCAATAACGGGGGGTTAGAGCTGATCAAACCAACACCTTTTGGCTGTGATGCATGCGCTTTAGTGTCAAACAATCAGCCACTACATGACCTTTTCGGTGAAAAAAGAAGCACTCACGCTCCTGTTGTGGGGGAGACCTTGTGGGTTTGGTCCTTTCCGAGGATCCACTCCTGTCTGGACCAGAAGTCATAGGACGGGCCACCCTGTCCGAACGGGGAGAGACAAAGATATTTTTGTGCGTTAGTTCAAATTCATCGGCGAGCACAGCCGCTTTGGATAGTGTGGTCACCTTCTGTTCATTCAGGAACAGTGACATTTTATCAGACAGCGTGTTCTTGAAATCTTCAAGCAGAATTAACTGCCGGAGGGACCCAAAGTCTCACATCATTGGCTGCACACCATTTGTCAAAAAGCAGCCCTTTCTCCCGTGCAAACTCTACAAATGTTTGACCATTTGCCTTCCTGTGCTCTCTGAACTTTTGCCTATAGGCCTCTGGGACCAGCTCATATGCACGTAATATGGACCCCTTTAAAGTGTCATAATTTAAACTCTCGTTCAGAGACAGAGAGGACCCTAACCGCTTAATCTCTCTCTTAAGGCTCTGTTTCTGGACAGAAACACCAAAGTGAGCCGCAATGCACAAAAGGTCATCTTTGCGACACCTGTCAAGGATTTCCAGAGGGGGAGTCTCAATGAAATCCTGTAGAATAAACACCATGATTGCTCTCTCTCTAAACACTAAAGACCACACTGAGACAATGATTGTTTCAAATAATCCCAGAAGAGCCCCCACTTTTGTTATGACCAGTTAAGGACCCACACCAGTCATAACAGGGATATGTGAAAGTATCATTGAAACACAGTCACTTAAATAAAGACATTGCCAAACTCCTTAAGAGCCAAATTAAAAAGAAATAACAGTAGTGGGAGGAGTGGCGTCGCCCAGTTGTGCCAAAAGAACAAAAGTAAAATATAACAAAAGAGGCCTAACTCACAGGCTAGTCTAATAAAAGAAATGAAATAAAAAATGTCTATTCTATTTTATCTAAAGAAAAGTGGAGTAGAACTCAAAACAACAAGGGTGGTCACAACTGATAAGCTAGGGAATCTAACAAAGGTATCTACGTGTTGTAAATGTAACTTGGCACCAAACTCACCTAACCAAACCTCCACACAGAAACAAATTAGGCTACCACCTGGCAGCTTCTGGCACCTAAGAGAGAGAGCCGCCCAAGACACTCCCCGTTTAAATACTCTCCTTCCCAATTTGCCTCCACTCCACCAATCATGCACCATCCTCCTCCAGGGCACGCCCACAGCACCTTCACACATAAGCAGAAGGGAGAGAACAGCAGCACACAGGGAAAGGCAACTGATGCACGTAACATTCTGAAAATGCTCAAACTTGTTCTGGCACATGTCACGGATCTTGAACTGATGTTGAAGGTTTTTCCAGTTTGAAGTCAGTTCTTTTCGACCAGGGTCTGCTCCTGGTTCTGCTGGGTTCATTTGTGATGTTCTAAAATAATAATATTCTTCAGATACAGATGTTTTGCTCGCTCTCCTCTCCACAGACAGGACCTGTAAATGTTTCAGAAGTAGTTTCTGATGTGAGCAGAAAACACAACAAAAAGAGGATCCTCCTTCAGAAAACTGACGACACGTGTGTTTTTAACCTTTATGACTCAACAGTTCAGTCTCAAACAGGAACTATGTGTTTCATGAACTAAGGAATAAAAGTTACACTTCTTTATCAAAGTTACACTTCTTTATCAAAGTTACACTTCTTTATCAAAGTTACACTTCTTTATCAAAGTTACACTTCTTTATCAAAGTTACACTTCTTTATCAAAGTTACTCTCTTTATCAAAGTTACTCTCTTTATCAAAGTTACTCTCTTTATCAAAGTTACTCTCTTTATCAAAGTTACTCTCTTTATCAAAGTTACACTTCTTTATCAAAGTTACCCTTTTTATCAAAGTTACTCTCTTTATCAAAGTTACACTTCTTTATCAAAGTTACACTTCTTTATCAAAGTTACACTTCTTTATCAAAGTTACACTTCTTTATCAAAGTTACTCTCTTTATCAAACTTACACTTCTTTATCAAAGTTACACTCTTTATCAAACTTACACTTCTTTATCAAAGTTACTCTCTTTATCAAAGTTACCCTTTTTATCAAAGTTACACTCTTTATCAAACTTACACTTCTTTATCAAAGTTACACTCTTTATCAAAGTTACACTTCTTTATCAAAGTTACACTTCTTTATCAAAGTTACTCTCTTTATCAAAGTTACACTTCTTTATCAAAGTTACACTTCTTTATCAAAGTTACACTTCTTTATCAAAGTTACACTTCTTTATCAAAGTTACACTCTTTATCAAAGTTACTCTCTTTATCAAAGTTACACTTCTTTATCAAAGTTACTCTCTTTATCAAAGTTACACTTCTTTATCAAAGTTACTCTCTTTATCAAAGTTACACTTCTTTATCAAAGTGACACTTCTTTATCAAAGTTACACTCTTTATCAAAGTTACTCTCTTTATCAAAGTTACACTCTTTATCAAAGTTACACTCTTTATCAAAGTTACACTTCTTTATCAAAGTTACACTTCTTTATCAAAGTTACACTCTTTATCAAAGTTACACTTCTTTATCAAAGTTACACTTCTTTATCAAAGTTACACTTCTTTATCAAAGTTACACTTCTTTATGAAAGTTACTCTCTTTATCAAAGTTACACTTCTTTATCAAAGTTACTCTTTTTATCAAAGTTACACTTCTTTATCAAAGTTACACTTTTTATCAAAGTTACACTTCTTTATCAAAGTTACACTTCTTTATCAAAGTTACACTTCTTTATCAAAGTTACACTTCTTTATCAAAGTTACACTTCTTTATCAAAGTTACACTTCTTTATCAAAGTTACACTTCTTTATCAAAGTTACACTCTTTATCAAAGTTACACTTCTTTATCAAAGTTACTCTCTTTATCAAAGTTACTCTCTTTATCAAAGTTACACTTCTTTATCAAAGTTACACTTCTTTATCAAAGTTACACTTCTTTATCAAAGTTACACTTCTTTATCAAAGTTACACTTCTTTATCAAAGTTACACTTCTTTATCAAAGTTACACTTCTTTATCAAAGTTACACTTCTTTATCAAAGTTACACTTCTTTATCAAAGTTACACTTCTTTATCAAAGTTACTCTCTTTATCAAAGTTACTCTCTTTATCAAAGTTACTCTCTTTATCAAAGTTACTCTCTTTATCAAAGTTACACTTCTTTATCAAAGTTACACTTTTTATCAAAGTTACTCTCTTTATCAAAGTTACACTTCTTTATCAAAGTTACACTTCTTTATCAAAGTTACACTTCTTTATCAAAGTTACACTTCTTTATCAAAGTTACTCTCTTTATCAAAGTTACTCTCTTTATCAAACTTACACTTCTTTATCAAAGTTACACTCTTTATCAAACTTACACTTCTTTATCAAAGTTACTCTCTTTATCAAAGTTACCCTTTTTATCAAAGTTACACTCTTTATCAAACTTACACTTCTTTATCAAAGTTACACTCTTTATCAAAGTTACACTTCTTTATCAAAGTTACACTTCTTTATCAAAGTTACTCTCTTTATCAAAGTTACACTTCTTTATCAAAGTTACACTTCTTTATCAAAGTTACACTTCTTTATCAAAGTTACACTTCTTTATCAAAGTTACACTCTTTATCAAAGTTACTCTCTTTATCAAAGTTACACTTCTTTATCAAAGTTACTCTCTTTATCAAAGTTACACTTCTTTATCAAAGTTACTCTCTTTATCAAAGTGACACTTCTTTATCAAAGTGACACTTCTTTTTCAAAGTTACACTCTTTATCAAAGTTACTCTCTTTATCAAAGTTACACTCTTTATCAAAGTTACACTCTTTATCAAAGTTACACTTCTTTATCAAAGTTACACTTCTTTATGAAAGTTACACTCTTTATCAAAGTTACACTTCTTTATCAAAGTTACTCTTTTTTATCAAAGTTACACTTCTTTATCAAAGTTACACTTCTTTATGAAAGTTACTCTCTTTATCAAAGTTACACTTCTTTATCAAAGTTACTCTTTTTATCAAAGTTACACTTCTTTATCAAAGTTACACTTTTTATCAAAGTTACACTTCTTTATCAAAGTTACACTTCTTTATCAAAGTTACACTCTTTATCAAAGTTACACTTCTTTATCAAAGTTACACTTCTTTATCAAAGTTACACTTCTTTATCAAAGTTACACTTCTTTATCAAAGTTACTCTCTTTATCAAAGTTACACTTCTTTATCAAAGTTACTCTCTTTATCAAAGTTACTCTCTTTATCAAAGTTACTCTCTTTATCAAAGTTACACTTTTTTATCAAAGTTACACTTCTTTATCAGGTTACACTTCTTTATCAAAGTTACACTTCTTTATCAAAGTTACACTTCTTTATCAAAGTTACACTTCTTTATCAAAGTTACTCTCTTTATCAAAGTTACACTTCTTTATCAAAGTTACTCTCTTTATCAAAGTTACACTTCTTTATCAAAGTTACACTCTTTATCAAAGTTACTCTCTTTATCAAAGTTACACTCTTTATCAAAGTTACACTTCTTTATCAAAGTTACACTTCTTTATCAAAGTTACACTTCTTTATGAAAGTTACTCTCTTTATCAAAGTTACACTTCTTTATCAAAGTTACTCTTTTTTATCAAAGTTACACTTCTTTATCAAAGTTACACTTCTTTATCAAAGTTACACTTCTTTATCAAAGTTACACTTCTTTATCAAAGTTACACTTCTTTATCAAAGTTACTCTCTTTATCAAAGTTACACTTCTTTATCAAAGTTACTCTCTTTATCAAAGTTACACTTCTTTATCAAAGTTACACTCTTTATCAAAGTTACTCTCTTTATCAAAGTTACACTCTTTATCAAAGTTACACTCTTTATCAAAGTTACACTTCTTTATCAAAGTTACACTCTTTATCAAAGTTACGCTCTTTATCAAAGTTACACTCTTTATCAAAGTTACACTTCTTTATCAAAGTTACACTCTTTATCAAAGTTACACTTCTTTATCAAAGTTACACTTCTTTATCAAAGTTACACTTCTTTATCAAAGTTACTCTCTTTATCAAAGTTACTCTCTTTATCAAAGTTACTCTCTTTATCAAAGTTACACTTCTTTATCAAAGTTACACTTCTTTATCAAAGTTACTCTCTTTATCAAAGTTACACTCTTTATCAAAGTTACACTCTTTATCAAAGTTACACTCTTTATCAAAGTTACACTTCTTTATCAAAGTTACACTTCTTTATCAAAGTTACACTTCTTTATCAAAGTTACACTTCTTTATCAAAGTTACCCTTTTTATCAAAGTTACACTTCTTTATCAAAGTTACACTCTTTATCAAAGTTACACTTCTTTATCAAAGTTACACTTCTTTATCAAAGTTACACTTCTTTATCAAAGTTACACTCTTTATCAAAGTTACACAGATGTTTTGCTCGCTCTCCTCTCCACAGACAGGACCTGTAAATGTTTCAGAAGTAGTTTCTGATGTGAGCAGAAAACACAACAAAAAGAGGATCCTCCTTCAGAAAACTGACGACACGTGTGTTTTTAACCTTTATGACTCAACAGTTCAGTCTCAAACAGGAACTATGTGTTTCATGAACTAAGGAATAAAAGTTACACTTCTTTATCAAAGTTACACTTCTTTATCAAAGTTAGACTTCTTTATCAAAGTTACACTTCTTTATCAAAGTTACTCTCTTTATCAAAGTTACACTTCTTTATCAAAGTTACTCTCTTTATCAAAGTTACACTTCTTTATCAAAGTTACTCTCTTTATCAAAGTTACACTCTTTATCAAAGTTACACTCTTTATCAAAGTTACACTTCTTTATCAAAGTTACTCTCTTTATCAAAGTTACTCTCTTTATCAAAGTTACTCTCTTTATCAAAGTTACACTTCTTTATCAAAGTTATACTTCTTTATCAAAGTTACTCTCTTTATCAAAGTTACACTTCTTTATCAAAGTTACTCTCTTTATCAAAGTTACACTTCTTTATCAAAGTTACTCTCTATCAAAGTTACACTTCTTTATCAAAGTTACACTTCTTTATCAAAGTTACTCTCTTTATCAAAGTTACACTTCTTTATCAAAGTTACTCTCTATCAAAGTTACACTTCTTTATCAAAGTTACACTTCTTTATCAAAGTTACTCTCTTTATCAAAGTTACACTTCTTTATCAAAGTTACACTTCTTTATCAAAGTTACTCTCTTTATCAAAGTTACTCTCTTTATCAAAGTTACACTTCTTTATCA